CCGGCGGCCCGGGGGCAGGGGGGACGGGGAGCCGCTCCTCTTCTCGGCGGCGGCTGCGGGAGCTTTTCAAAAGTCCTCTTGAGGCCGGAATTGGGAGCCCCGCCCCCTTCTCCACGCTCCCCGCCCCCTTGCGTCACCAAGATGGCGAGCCCGGGGGAGCAGTGCGCCTGCGCGTGGCGAGGGGAGGAGGGAGCAGCAGCGCGAGGTCGGCTGGTTCCAGTCGCGCTGCCGCCTTTCAAGCCGAATGGGAAAGGAAATCGGAGAATTCAAATGAAACCAGGAGAATTCAAATCCAGTGAAATCACAAAATTCATTCAACTACAGCAAGTTGCTGACTCAAAGTCTCTCTCTCTCTCCCGTGGGTGAAGATGATTTGGGCTCACTCAACAGAATTTCAGTGTTCTGAACTGACAACGTTTTATTATGCTTAAGGGTAAATCTGGCATTTTCCAACAAATGCAAAACATTCATAGTGCAAGCTTGTGCAACAGTGCACTGGCCGCAAGCAGCCTGCCAAGCAGCGTCCCGTGGCCCACTGGCCTTTTTTAACAGATCTGCTGCTGCCAAACATCACTGCTGCCAGGAAGGATCCACCACTGCCACCTTCACCCCGAAAGACACTGCCAAGCATCTCCAGGTCTCACCAGCATTGCCAGCTCCATCAGTGCCACTGTGTCAGCGACTATTTTTGAGGTACCACTGTTGCCCATTCCCTTCCGTGAGTTGTGCAGGTCTGATGTGCAAGATTACAAATGGGGGGGGGGGATATATTGGAAACCAACATCTCTCGTGCCAGGGCTGCTAGACCTCTACTGGCAACTGAGTGTGTGTTACCATGGCAGTTTTTCTGGTGTATTTCTGCAGCATTCTGGACTTCCTTAAAAGCCACAGAGAATTAGTAATTTTTCCCCCATATCCATCTTGCCCTAACATTTACATTTTTGAATGCAAAGTACAGAGAAGTTTGCAGTCCAAAGACAAATTGTTTCCAGATTTGTGAATTAAGCAAGTTCTGTTTCAAAAGTCAGATGAAACTGCATTTTTCTCTACCGTCAGAAGTTGGACTTGAACGGGCTTGATTGTGCAATTTCAGGTGTCATCTGCATTTGTTTTGCAAGGCAGCTGGGCCTGGCTGAGGAGTGGTTCTCTACACAGAACAGCCATAGGTATGAAAGCTCCTATTTTCCGCTCCAAACCTCGCCTATCCAGGGAATTTTAACTGCAAAATGTACCTTCTGTTGATAAATCAATAATACCTCTAGCTCTAGTAATCAGCTCTTGGGCTTTGCAGCAATTAAGCACTGCACAGAATATAAAATAATTATTGATTGCTGCCAACAAATAAATTATCCAACTGGGGTCCAAAGGAAGACAGATCACTGGTGCTGAGCACACTGGGCAGAGAAAGTGTCATGGCCTGAGAGCTCCCATTAATCACTATGTTGCTGGGGCGGGGGGAGACAAGGTTTAATGTACATGCAGCACCATCACTCTGCAGCTCCCAAAGTGAAGACCATCATAAGAAGCTATTGCTGCAGAAAGAACAGCAGGGGGGGGGGGGGGGACCAGGGGACCTCGAAAGGGGAAGCCACCCAGGCAAAAGTTTCAATGTAGGGAGGCCTCTTCCTTGACTTAATTTGTCCTTATGGGAGAGGAGTCCCATAGCTGTAAAAGAAGCCTTTGTGCCCTTGGAATTTTATTTCAGTTCAGTTCCTTACATTCTCCTCCAGGTTTTCTCCTTGAGGTGCCCAAGGCAGTTAAATTGCTTGCACCTGAAACACCTGGAAAGGATTCAGATAACAGCTTCTTCACTGGTTAAAATAAGTGATTGCTAAGGTCAGCTACATGATCCTCCCCCCCCCCCCAGAAAATCTTTAGCAAGAGTGAGAATTCCATGTGGCTTTTTAAAAGCAGAAATAATAATTCACAAATTGCTTCCTAAATGGAATTTTGTGAGAATGGAGTTTGCAAACCATTGCAGAAAAAGGTCAGATGGACACTGGGTTCCTAGCTCATAAATGATTTAGCTAGATTCCCCCTTAAATCGAGAGTCAGAAAGAGGCTTAAATGGATCAAGGAGGACATTACTTGCTGATGAAGAGGGGTGCATAAAAGCCCAGTTTCCAAGTTTCTGTAATGTTACCATGTTTTTAATAAACCTGAGTAATAACATTCTGTAAGAATCTAACTTTCTTGGTTACATTAGAGGACTTGACAGATGGTTGGAATTTGAATTTTTTAACTGAAAAAGAGGAGAAATCTATAGTGGCCTGGACCACATAGATGATACTAAGCCATAAACCATTATGAATCCAGGACTACTTTATTCAACATGCTGTTGTTAAAACAACCCATAGCTTAAGGTATTATGGAAAACCAGGGTGCTAGCTGACACATGACACATAGCTCTAAACTACTGGTTATAAACCACCACGACCATGTTCATGCATCTTATCAAACTGTACTGTGGCCTCTAATCAAGCAGAAGCAGCAAGAGAGAGGAGATGGCCTGAACTGGAAGCCAGACGAAGGGCCCCAAGGGACCATGGCATTGCAAAGGTCTGCAAAATTAGGGGAAGGTTGGCTGTGCCCTGCCAGACCCTCTGGTATTCGAAAGGGTGGTGGAGGAATCCCTCTGAGGGTGCAGGGATGCCCGTCGAACTGTTGCCTTCCCCAGGCGAGGTCAGCCCCCCTCGCACACGCACGCTGAGGGTCAAAGAGCGTCTTCCAACTTCTTTCTTGTGGAATTTTCACGGTAAGCAGCTGCTGGGCTGACAGCCACTCGGCCGCTTCTCCCGCAGCCTTCCAACCACCTCCGGCTGGCTACGTCCCCTCTCCTCCCCCTGCTCATTCTAGCGGCCTTCCTTTTACCCCATCCCGATCGAGTCCTAAAGGAGTCAAGCAGGGCGTGGCTGGGGTGGGGGGCACCCGCGTTTCAGCCCCAGGCGGCCCAGTTCAGGACCTTCCCCTCGTGGATTCCAACCCACGGCTCCCCAGGGAGGCTGCCGCTGATAACCGGAGTGCCTGATGTACCGTTTCTTCTTGTTCGAGCCCCCCCGCCCGAATCCTCCATAGAGACCAAGGCGGCGCCTGCGACCCTCTCAAGGACCCCGGGGGTCAGCGAGGAGGGGAGCCGTTTGAGGGACGCTCTGCAAAAGGCGTTCACGGGGTCGGCCTCCCCATCTTCGGGCTACCAACGCCTCCGGGCCCAGGCAGGGAAGGGGGCCGAGTTAAATTAGGACGCGGCCGCTGCCCCCAGCCCCGCTCCTGCGGAGGACGGAGCCCTGCCGCGCCCTGCGGATGCCACGAGGGGCTGAGGGCGCCCGCGAGGCCCTGGGGGGCTCAGCCCG